TGCCTGCATCCTAAAGAGCTGCATGATAGTAGGAAAGTGACACCTCACCACTAAAGGGGAATGGGTATTCCTTGTCTTACTGACATAACCAGAACACAGTTCCATGTAATAGAGACCCTGAAAGCTCATGCAGCTGCACACAGGCTCATTCTCTGATGATCACGATGTTGCTGATTCTATTTTCCTTGAGATGTTTCAGCATCGTCCATCACAGATGAGCAATTCTAAGAAGAGGTGCTCAATGGGAATAACCTCGCCAGTTTGATTAATGCTCATGTAAGTGAACCAAAAAAGCCATTCATCCAGGTAAGTAATCAAAAAACTTTTATACATAAAAATTAGGGAACTTTTACAAGGATCCTGAGGATCGGGCTCCAAACATATTGGCTCGTAATCTCTGTCCCCACCACCTTTCCTTTCCGTTTCTGTTTCCTTTCTTTTTCCATTTTTTTCTTCCCTTATTTATCTTTTTTCCTTGTAGGTATTCCTCCTCCTCTTTCTCTCTTTTCCTTGGACATATACTCAGCCTTTCTTGTACAGGAACACAAAAGATGATGGCAAGGAGAGAAATCACAAAATATTAATTAGGAAAAAACTAATACCCTCACTGGAAGGAAGTTATATTGAGTTTATAAAAGTAAAAAGTGCTGCACAGTTTGTACAAACAAGACAACTGAGTTACTGACGTAACTCTGCAACAGAGTCAGAGGCCCAGAGCATGCTGGTCCATAATTAGTATTACAGAATTTGCATTAAAACTCTTCTTGCAGTTAACAGTTGAAACTAATGAATAAAACCTATAAGAAACACAACTTAGGGGCCAGGAAGATAGCTCAGTAGAAAAAGTGCCTGCCTGGCAAGCACAAGGTCCTGAGTTCAATCCTTGGTACCACAAAAAAAAGAAACACAACTTAAGTACTGAATGTTGGAAATTGAATAATAAATTATTTCCATGGTACATGTGAAACCTTTGCACTTAGTTATTTTTTTTTTTTTGGTTAATTATAATTTCTTTTACAACTTGCAGATGTATATCCACACATTTACAATAGTTTCTGCATTAGACAAGTTAGCATAGATTTTTAAAGCATATTTCCTGAAATATATTAAGCTTGTCTTCTGGATGGTTAACAACCTAAGTTTGCAGACCAAAATTAGAGAAAAAGGAGGGCTACAAGGAAAGCCAACATTTTGGCCCTAGTCTTCTAAGGTCAATTAAGACTCAGGACATATGAGAACCTGTATTGTAACGTCATGTACCTCGGTAGTGTCCCAAATTTTCTGATCAAGAAGATTATGGGGCCAAAGAGGAAAGAGAT